GTGTTGAACGAACCCCTGGCGGTAACAATTTTTCCAGGCAGAGTTAGCCACAAATTGATAAAGTTTCTGCTTTAAGTCACCCCGTTCCCATGTATATAACATGCCATCAGTTCGAAGTTCTTCTAGTCGGTTGTTAAATAACCACGACGAAAAGTCTGGGCTGACCGAATGGTGCCGTCGAGCTCCCCTTGTGGGTTCGCTGTTCATGTGTGATTTTACACCATATTTATTGAGTATCTAGAGCTTAGTCATTGCATTATTGGTGTACAAATCGCATATTTGTGCTTTAATTCTCTATTTGTTGGAAAGGTATTACACGTGCTTGTTTTGTAGATATTTTCACATATTTGTAGAGCTTGTGGCTATTGGAGGCGCATGGTGAGTACCTAGGACCCCCGAGATGATGATGGATTGATGCACGGATGAGAAAAATGGAAGAAACGAGTGAAACGGACAAAAACGAGAGGTGCTGGGATGTGACACGGACGGTGACACGGGCACCATGCCCGTGTCAGGTGGCCGTGTCACGTGAACAGGGACATTCCGAGGGCTTGAACTTGACACGACCCGTGACACGGGCGTGTCAGGTCGTGTCGCGACGCGGGCAGTTTTTAATCCCTTGCCTTTTTCGATTAGGAAAGGACTTTTGGACCTATAAAAAGACATATTTACCTGATTTTGAACCCTAGAACGTGATTACGCAAGGAAGGGAGCTAGAGAACACACAAGAGAAGCAATTGAGAAGAAGAGAAGATCAACCACAAGCTTACTAGTTTTTCTTTCTCTCTTTTGAACTTATTTCCTCATGTTGATTTTGTCTATGTCTATGTATTTGGATTCAAACATGAGTAGCTAGTTTATTTGATTCTAGGACTTGGTAGTAGATTAATATGTTGGGATTTTGGATGAATTATTATAATTGATTGTTTTTCTTTTGAACCCTATTCAAATATTTTGTTCTTGTTTCATGTTTAGCACTTGATCAATGCTTTTACATGTTTGACAATATTTTTCATAATTCGAGAGATGAGTTCAATATTAGGTCTTTAATATTTGACACAATTTACTTGCTTGAATCGAGAGATTAGTAGGTCGTTGTGAGGATATTAGATCCTTTAATCTATTTGGAGTTGAATTGCATATGTTGAGTGGAGACGCTAATATATGTGATTTAATCTACGGTTTTATCGATCTCGAGAGGGACGATAAGCTAAATTTGTGATCATCTTATAGGGTAGATAAAGAAAACATTGGTTGTGATATTTCTGAAGGAACCCAACTATTAATTGAAACCAAAGTCTTAGAATCTATCATTCTCATATATTTTCTTACGTATTTTTTCTAGCTAGTTTCTCATTGTTGCTTTATTTTCCTTTGATTATATTTTCTTAGTTTAGTTAATCCATCTCTTATTCGGTCGTCTAAATAAAGTTGACACTATCATAATCTTGTACTTGATATATTAATTATTTGGTCTCTTGGGATACGACCTTGCTTGCCACATACTACGAGCGAAGCCGTACACTTGCGGTTGAGCTTTAAAAATATAGGCGAACATTCGCTCGGTCGGAAAATGCAATTAAAGTCACCGCCAATGAGCCAAGGTTCGCGAGCCTCAACTGCTAGGGCCACAAGATCCTGCCACAGGGTCCGACGAATCCTAGGATTCGGGCTTGGCATTGCATCTTTAGAGATCTTAGCGTTGATAAATTGGCAATGGCATTGCAGGACAGAAAGACTCACCCTCTCTTTCCACAAAATCCAAATTTCTCCAGAGTAACCAATCGCCTCAACATGGAACGACCGATTAAATCCACTATTTTTAATAAAAGCGTCGGTCTTGCTTCCACTAATGTGCGGCTCCATCATAGTAAACACGTTTGGATTATAATGGTTTTTTATCGTGGAGAAACTTCGGAAAAAATCCACCGAAGCTGCTCCTTGTACATTCCACGAAATAATATTCATTAAAAAAAAAAAAGAAAGAAGAGGGTGACCACCGTCATATCGAGCTGGAAAGTTGAGAAGCTAGAGCTTCATCATCTGACATAAGAGCATCACCGTCTTCTTCCTTCCGGGGTGGTAGTACCTGTTCACCCCGATTGAGACCCGGTCCCCCATGGTCCATCTCATCTTCTGGATCGAGCAGCCCCGTCACAGGATCGTTCTGGTTGGGTTGAGTAGAGTTGTCCACGACCAGGACCGCCTGGTGTTTTGAAGGGTCTAAGCCGGACGTTAATGGAATGACAATTGTCTGTTGGGATGTGGGCGGCCCACTGTGAGCATTGTGATCATTAGGAATGTGCTTTAGTCCTCCCGACTGCACGTTAGAGGCTTTCGTATTAGCTGTTGGTGTCACGTTAGGTTGAGAAGCTGGCCCGTCTCTACTAACCCTGGTTTTCTCGGATTTTCCACCTTGGCCTTTCCCTTTTTTGCCACCTTTAGTCCCTGTTGTTTGCCGTTCGCCATGCCCCTTTGTGACAGTTTCCCCGTTTGCTTGAAACCTCGTTTCCGGCGCCTCAAACACACCTTTTCCCTTGTTGACATTAGTAAAAACGTGGTTATGGTTAGTGACCTCAAGATTGGGAGCTCCGTCAATGCCATCATCTACAGCCAATGAAGCAAATCTTGATCCCGAGGCTTCGCCTCCAGTCCTCTAGTTTTGAATGCTGTTGGGTGCCCCCTTGTTGCTCCAAGATTGGCGCCGGATACCCGTTTTCTCCCTCATCCACGGCCCAAATTGTGGGTCGACAGCTCCTACTCCCGGTGGGGTATCTCAGGTGCCAATGGGTATTGTGGCTGTCGTGACCCCCCCAGCGACATCTGAGGAATTTCCCCGACTAGTCTCCTCCGGACGGTCAGGGCACGTCGGTGCCAGGTGACCACAACGACCACATGAGTAACAGATGTCTGGCAGCATTTCTTACTCAATTTGCTGAAGCTTCCCACGGATGGTGAACTGAGTTCGGAGTGCTCTGGATAAATCCAACTGCACTGCTAAGCGTTCAAACTTCCCCCTTGTCTGAGTCGCAGTTTGATGGTCAACTTTGATTACCTTGCCCACTATTAGCCCGATTGTACGGAATACCTTCTTGTGATAGAGATGGACCGGTAAGCCCGATAAACGGATCCATGCCACTGTCGAAGTGATTTGATTGACTAATTCATCGAAATCTTCAGACCATGGTTGGACGTGTAGATAGTGTTTATTGATCACCCATGAGCCGTCAACAAGAGCCGTTAACACGTCGTCCTATGAGAGGAGTTGGATCATGAAGGATCCATTTTCAACATCGAATAGTGGACATCCCTGAACAAATGGCCAGATCTCCCGTAATTTTCTGTAGAACGTCTCCAGTCGCATTCTCAGACCCAACAGTTTAACCACAATCACGTTAGCAAAAGACTTGACACGGTTTTCATAGAACGAGTCCTTCATCTTGATGTCCGGAAGAGATCCGTTAAAATCAACAAATACCTCATCATTTGGGCCTTCTCCCTCGTCATCGGACTCCATCACTAAGTGAGGGAGAGTATTGTTTAGAGTATCCTTGAAGCTTAATGGTGGTGTCGGTTTATTCGGCACTGGAGGCTGAGTCGCCTTCTCTGAGCAAGCAGCAGCCTCCTTGGTCGGCGGACAGTCCGGCGGCTGCTCAGATCTTCGTTTCTTTAAATTGCGAGTATCAGAGGTTACGGGAGGGTTAGCTACGTGTAACTCCGGGAAGGGGTCCGGTGGGTCAACTGATTTCGCCTTGCCCGTTAATTCATTTGCGACGGCGAACCCTAACATTTTGGGGATTTTAGGAAAATGGGAATTTGAGTTGTAGTTAAAGCTAGTTAAAACTAAGGGCACAAAATCTGGTTAATCGAACCAAACTGACCGAATTGGTCCAAACCAAAAATTCGGTTTTAGTTTATATTTTCTTTAGTTTTCAGTTTTCGTTTTGATTTTAATACAAGTGATCGGTTAACCAAACCGAACCGAAAACCAATAATATATATAACTAAGAAAAAAACCGACTACATACATACAATAATATATTATCTATCTATATCAACTCAAGCCCATTTCACCGGCCCATTTGTTTTATATAATTTAGGAGTCCAGTCCAAGTATTCATCTCATTTTGTAAATAAAACAAAAAATACCAAACCTATTAATTAACTAATAACAAAATTAAAATAAAATAAATTAAAAAAAACACCCATCTATCATTTATTAATATCTCATTCTCAAAACTCCAAAGGCCACAACAGTCGACACTCATCAGCATTCAGCAAAATCCCTAATTTTTCAAAAACTCACACACGGTGCATGCTCGGTCGTGAATCTGACTTCGTCTCCTGTCTCCCACACAGCACGCTCCGGTGGCGTCAGAGCTCCTGCGACTCCGGCAAGCAATGAGTTCGCCACCCAAATCCCTTCGCAACAGCTGCGCCTCAGAACAAGTTCGTTTTCACTTTTATTCTTTGTAATTGCTGCCAGAAAGAGAACAATTAGATACTAATTAATTTGAATAGTTAATAAGAATTATCTCGATTTAGGGATTTTAGGGTTTCAGTTGGAAGAAATTTAGACTTTGTAAACCAAATTCAGAGATAATTTTGAGTACCTGAACTTCAATTATATATTGTTATGAATATATATATATATATATATATATATATATAAAGAATAAAATTTCAAATAGATTTTTAGTATCTGACTACCTGTACCAGTTGTTCTAATTGTTCTGTATATATCCATTACTCCTTTTGCTAGATGTTCTACATTTTTTAGTACCTTAATTTATACAATTGTTATGTTCTATATTTAGTTATTATTGTTATTAGTTACTTGTTCTTTGTTTTTTATTATACACATTTTATTAATACATATATATATATGTATATATGTTCTCAATTTATGAATACCTGTGTGGTTGCGGTTGTGCCCATAAGCTACATAATCTAATTATCATGCATTTTTTAGGTACAAAACACAAAATAGGCGGTTTGGGATGTTCGAGGACTTCATGTTCAAGCCCACTACGACCCCCTCGTTCCTCATCGATCTGGATCCACAACAAGAATTGGACAATGAAAATTCAGCGTTCGAGAAAAAACACATGGACACATCAAATCCATATGGAGAGGAAGAAGAAGAAGGGGAATCAGATTAAATGAATGAGGGGGTTGAAAAAAAAAGACTAAAAGAAAGGCCAAGGCATGGCATCACTTTAAACTGATAATGGTAGATGGTAAGAAAATGCCACAATGCATTCACTGTAAATAAACTTAACGCGGCCCATACGAAATTTAACGGTACAATCTTCTTTTAATACCCATATGAGCAAGTGCAAAGATCACCCTGACAATAAATGTCAGACAATTGCCAAGTTTTATCCAAACATAAGTGTGGGCACAAAAGAAGGGAGTTCGAATTGAAAATTTAATCATGAATCCATTAGAAAAGCCATTGCTCGCATGATAATTGTTAATGAATTGCCTTTTTAATTTGTTGAGAATGAAGGTTTTAGGAAGCTTATGTGCATTTCATGTCCTCAATTGCTTGTTCCATCATGAATGACAATAGCAAGAGATTGTTTAACATGTTTGTTGATGAAAAAATTTGGCTTATCTTTAACTAAGTCGTCGGGGTTGAGAATGTCTTTGACAACTGGTTTCTGAATCTAGTGGGGGATAGATCCAGAGGATCGCCTAGAACCTACACTAGAAACAACGCACCCACTAACAATACAAAAACAAACAAACTCCACAACTGGAGAAAGAAACTCCCCTACGGAAGAATAACACGCTCCTCTATGGGAGAAAACATGTTCCCATACGGGAGAAAAACAAAACACAAGAACCAAAAACACAACAAAACACATAATACTAAACAACCTAAGTAAACCAACAAACAACAAATACAGAAATGAGAAAAAACGAGCTAAAAGATACTATAAACTACTAAGCCCTCCCTATCCGTCAACATAACTCCAAGAACCACCAAGTCAGATGGCACCCGCAGAACAGACAGATTCACAACTCCGGCCAAGATCTAGAAATTATATAAGGCTTAACTAGAACCTGCCTAGATGAGTCGGAACCCCTCCCAAAGGAGCCGCCCCGATACCTCATCACGAGACCGACACCTGGGACCCCCCATCACCAAACCGGCGGTTGTGGCCACCACACCGGCTGCAGAACCACCGAGACACCGTCGGACCTTCCCCCCCAGCACCAGGGGCGGATAGGAACCAAGGGAGGCCCAAAACGGCGTGGACCTCAAGTACATCCACCACCAAGGCACCAGACAAGCCGGTGATGACGAGCACCCTCTAAATCCATCGGCACCCCCGACTAAACCCTCCATGGCCACCAGTTGAAGACGGGGAAGCGCCATGCCGGACAAAGAAGCAAAAATGGATAGAAAGGCCGCTCATTACCGCCCCGATGAAGGTCTCCCTATGGTGGGGAAGAGAAATAAGTGAAGGGGAGGTAGCAATTTTACTGGAATCGAGCGGCGAGAGATTTGGGGAAAAGGTTTTCAAAGAGAAAGAGAGAGAGAGACGACATGCTATTTTGTGACTTAAGGAAAATGAAAATGCTAGCACTATTGCTTACTCAAAGAAGATTCATAACTTGGGGCAGTTCTATCATGAATGGAAAATACTTGCATATGCGGTGCGTTGCTCATGTTGTGAATCTTATAGTTAAAAAAGGACTGGAACATAGTATTTCTTCCATTGATCGTGTCCGGGCGGTTGTTCGCTATGTGAGGTCATCACCAATGAGATTGAAGAGGTTTAAAGAGTTTATCATGAAGTAAAAAATTGAGAGTAAAAAATCATTGAGTCTAGATGTTGCAACTAGATGGAATTCTACTTATTTGATGCTAGACACGACTTTGATTTTTCTTTTTTTTTTATTTATTTTTTTTTTGATAAATATGAGAACTATGATTCCACTTTCCGGAAAGATTTTATGTTGGGTTGAACTTATGAAAACATTGTCTTGCCCACAAAGTATGATTGAACCGTCGTAAAGAAATTTGCCAAAGTGTTGCGTCATTTATATGATCTCACTCTTTGAGTTTGCGGTTCACTCTTTGTGACTTCTAACATTTTCTTTGATGAAATTTTTGTAGTCCATGAGCATTTGATTGAGTGGATGAATTGTAATTATATTGATTTGGTTGCAATGGCAACAAAAAAAAAAAAAAAAAGNGTTTGACAAATATTGTGGTGATTTAGAGAAATTTAATATGATTTTGTATGTTGGATTTATGCTTGATCCCCGTCACAAGTTTGGTGCCTTACATTACTACTTGAAAAGTATGTACGGTTCGACTCGTGGAGAGGAGATAGCGAATTTAGCGAGAAGTGCTCTTTATGAAACTTCTGATGAGTATAAAAAAATGAGTGGCTTAGTGTCATGAACTTCTACGTCATCGCCTATCTACCCCGGCCAGGATGGACCTTCAGTTGTGGACGAATGGTTCCATAAGCTTGATAGCAACGGTTTCCAAGAAGAAATCAAACATGTGGTGACAAGCCACGGCACCATACAAAAAGCCAACCTCGTGTATGTTGTGGAAAACAGAGGTCAAAACAGGAATAATCCCATCTGTTTGGTAAAATGTGTAATCCCCAAAAGGCTCTTTATCTGAAGGGAAACAATAATTGTTGCACTCGCCATAAATCTATCAGTGTTGCTTTTGAAAGAAAGTCGATGATAAATCCGAGCCCGCAAAAATCAATCATCCAAAACAGCAAGTACTTCAATGTGATATGATGTTGCTACTTTAATAATATTTTATATTATTCTGTTATTGGGGACCATATAATTAGTTGTACCTAATTGAATTAATAGTCAAACTTAAGTGAATATGTATTTAATGGATTATTATTGTTCTAATATTAGAGAGTCCAATTTGTGATGTTTGACTTGGAAAATAAGTTAGGTTAGAGCATGGAGAATGTTAGTAGGATTAGGATTGTATGTCTCCTCCTATATATACTACTACTTGCCCTTCTCTCTCGGCTCATACGAAATTAAGTTCTCAACATCAAGAGTTTTGTGAAATGACGAGACGCGGGAGAGAGAAACAGAAACACACGATCAAACCAGACATACACGAAAACAGGGAAAGATTATGGATTCTTGTAAGTTCTATGAGCAATTTAATTTATGCAAAGATCCATATTCTATGAATTTATGGAATTACATGTTTAGGGCTTATTTAATTTTGCCTAGTAGTTATGAATATACTCGTTAAATTTCTACATGTGGTATCAGAGCGTGTGTTTATGCATGTTATTTTTCCATATAAAAGATTAAATTTTCGTTTAGTTTTTTTTTACTGCAAATTCGTTTTGCTCCTGCACGTTCGAATCAATTGCATCAAATAAATGTATTTGCTGAAATTTGTCCCAAAATGGCGCAAGTAAAGTGGCCAGCAATTAGATTGTTGGGAATTATTTACTCTAACATGTTCTAGCCATAAGTGGAATCAGCAATAAATTTTGTTGGATTTGTTTGCTTACATGAAATTGATGTTCTCCTTGTGAGATTTCTTCTCCTGTGTGAGATTTCTTCTCCCTCGTGAGATCTAGCTTCTTCATATTGGATTCTCTCTTTGGAATTTCCTTGGGGTATTTGCGTGGATCTCCCGTCTTATGTCTGTTTTTGTTTTTAGGGTATAAGTTCTGTGTTTGGGTCTTTTTGCTGTCTCTAAGGTTTGTATTTTTCTTTTCTTAGGTTTCTCCCTCGTCTCCCTTGTTGTCGTCTTTTCTCCTTCTCCCCTGTCGTCTTGTATTGAGTCAGCGGTTTGCCTGGGCATTAGTAGGTGTCTTTTCTGTAGAGTATGGCGGACGCTTTGGCCGACAAAATGAAGAAGTTTCGGCTGTCTAAAAAGGAGGATAGGGGGCTGGAAATTAAAGATGATGATATAGCTCTTGGTCTGAAGGAATGCCATCAAAGTTTAATAAGGAAAAGTTTTGGGGATAAAAGGGTCAACTTCAGCGGCCTAAAATCCACCCTAAGCAACATCTGTATTACACAACAACAATTTACCATACGCAACATTGGGCCTAATCTTTTTCAGTTCATTTTCAACCTAGTAGAAGACAAAGAGAAGATTCTGCATGGAAAGACGTGGTCCTTTTTGCTGCTGAAAGAATGGAGTCTAGAATCTCCAAATTTCACCGATAATAATGAAAAAATCAAGATCTAGGTGCATGTCCACAACATGCCTCTCCATTGGATTACTGAAGCAATTGGAGTGAAGATTGGTAGGGTGATTGGACGGGTTCTTAATGTGAGTGTCCCAGGCGCAGAGAGTCCAAATGGAATGCTTCTAAAAATCAGAGTAGAGATGAAGCTAAAGGATGCTATTCCCAGGGGTATGACCCTAAAATTTGGCCAAGAAGCTCGATGGGTGGATTTCAGGGATGAGAACCTCCAATCATTTTTCTTTTACTGTGGTTTAATTGGCCATATTGACAAAAAAAATGCAAAGCCAAAAGACAGAATTTAGCTGAAAATGTGTTTAATTTAGGGCAGTTTGGGGAATGGTTGAAGGCCAGCTCTAACTTTATCAATGAGGCTAGAAATTTTAGGTCCTCTGAGACTGGAGGCAATAGTGATGATACTCCTGTGAAGGTCTCAAGTAACGTTGTCAATGTCAGTAACAAAGGAGAGGATAAGGGTGATACCTCATCTCGAGGTGTTTCCTCACCCTTGTCTCTGGATAAGGAAATTGAGAGTGTTGCCATTTGTGGAAGTTCAGAGGTAGGTAAAAAGGTACCAAGCATGGGTACTAGTTTGTCTATTGATCTACCTATAATAGTTTCCCCCTCTCTTGCCCCTGATGATCAGCTAGTTGAAGTTACAATTCAACCATCTTCCATAGTGCAAAGAGTTGTCCAAAAAAGGAGAAAATTTGTCTCTAGTAAGTCTAAACCTGTTATTGCCAGTATTCCTGAGGATATGGTAGTTGAGGTTCCTATTGTGTGTTCTAATAACCCTGAATCTTCTAAGGTTCCTAGTAAAAGACCTTTGAATGACTGCCTGTCCAATAATTATGAAATTGCAATAGAAAAAATTGATGTTGTCTGATAAGAATGTGAACTTTGTGGCGGAGGAGACCAGCCATAATTGGTCCCAAGGGTCTAAATGAAAGTATGTTTGTGAATTTTAGAGGTCTGGGAGGACCCTCTACAATTTCCCAATTGCGAGAGGCTATTAGATATCACCTCCATGATATTTTTTCCTTTCTGAAA